CAGCTCCGGCCTCCCGGCGCCGGGCAGGACAGGCTGGCTCTGCCTCCCAGAGGGGAGCGGACGGACCCCGCCCCGCCCCATCGGCACCAGGACACCCTTAGCACCAATGTCAGTTGTGAGTTTTCGTATAAAAAGTTTAAAAAAAAAAGAAAAAAAAGGTGGTCACAGCTGCAGGCCAGCACCCCCGCGCCCAGTCGCCCCCCGGCGGACACCAGAACTCAGTCCAGGGCCAGCTCAGCAGCTCAGCTCAGCCCCAGCCCCTTCACACCGCCACCTGGGAGGGGTCTGGGGTGCTCCCAATAGAGTCCCGCCCCGCCCCGTGGGGCACGGAGGGCCTCGGGCCTGCTCAGTCAAGACACAACCTGAAGCGGGGCAGGGAAGGCCTGGGGCTCCCTGCAGCGGTCAGTGGGCAGCGGCCTGTCTCCACCACACACTCCCCTGCGCTGGGAGGCCGTGGCGTCCGCAGAGCAGGGGTTCCCCCCACCCCCCATCCCCCAGCTAGCAGCCCAACAGCCCCAGCCAGACCCTGTCCCCCAACAGGGAGTTCCTGGGAGGTCCAGGGCCAGCCCTGAGGGACACAGGCGGGTTAAGGGCCCCAGCCAGGGCCAGCGGGGCCTGCAGAGGTAGAGAACAGATTGGGGGGCCACGCATAGCGTGGGGCTCAGAGCGCCAGGCGATAGGGACGGCACGGCGTGGCCACTCCAGGCTCCCCAGTCAGAGCTGTGGTGCCGGGACACCCCCAAGCAGGGTTTTGGGGTAGGAGTGGGGCACGGGGCCGGGGGGAGGGGAGGACTGGCACACTGCCTGCCTGCCCCAGGGTGCCGGGGGGACTCAGACCCTCCCACGTGGTGCCCCGCAGTCTCTGCCCAGGGAGGCCGGAGCTGGCCACCTTGCTAGACGGACAGGTGGGCAGGGGTGAGGTGCAGGTTGCGGGTGGGGACCTCTGGCCGGCTACCACTGCCTGGACAGAGCTGGGCTGGGCAGCTGGGGGGCTCCGCCACCCTCCAGAGCCACGACCCTCACTTCTCAGGGGCCTTGCCGGTGCCCAACTTCCGGCCAGTGGAGCCCCGCGCCCCCTTGTCTTTGCCTCCGGGGGGCCAGTCGTCACGGCGGGGGGGTGTCGTGGGCCCCGGCTCCTC